CATTTAAAGCTCAATCTTTGCCTGGTTTGATACATTGACTCGTTCAAGTTGTTGAACAAGACCCTCATATTTGAATAAGGAGATCACAGTTAGGATTATGTTAGAGGCCGACAAGAGTCCCTAGGCTTGCTTTGCATATGCATCGTATTGCACGTTTTTGTATTAGTAATACTGATTGAAAGAATGTGGTATAACACACACCCAAAAGCAAATACCATAACGAAGATGGGAATCAAAAAGATAATGATAAACCATTCTAGCTACTGCAGATCCGAGCTCAAACGCAGTTACTCATATTGCATAACTTCCAGAGGAGAGCTTGGACTACAAAGTATCTACATGTTTGTGGAATTTTAAATTATTGTCAATGAACAAGCCAAGGAATTTAGAAGTGGGTACGTTGTCAATTTGAATATCATTTAGATGTACGGCTGGAATCTGGCAACGATTTTTGATAAATTCAAGCTCAAGAGATTTCAGTTCAACCAGTCTTTCACTTTCGTGATGTCATTCTCAATAACTTCATACAACGTATGGTTGTTAGGAGCATGCCATAAAATTGTGGTATCATCAGCAAATGAAGTAAATTTTCCTTGGACTGTCAATGAACAGTGTACTGTGTACTAGCTACTTTCAATGTTGCTTGGTTTGAAAATGTTTTTTAAAGTGTTTTATTGTTTTATTATTTCAACATTGTTCTGTTTTTGACTTATCAATCCAATGCAAATTGGTGTTTGATCAATAAATGTCTATCTAACTCAGAAAGCAGAGAGGTTCCTGAAAATGATTATTTTAAAATCTTGGAAGTTATGTCATTCCTTGTATTGTTTATTCTGAACTACTGAATATATGTTGAATGAAATCTGCATAACTTGGCAACACTACAGAAAAAACCTTTAGATAATACCCGAAATGTAAACAAATTAAATACCCAATCAACATCAGGAAGCTTTTGACTGACACATTTTTCAATATTAGTGATATCTCTGGAAAATGGTTTTGAGGTTATTCAAAAGTCATTTCAATGTCACTTGAAATGAAGACTTAAGTGACCAAGTGAAAGCTAGATATTCATACCTGGACTAACTGAAGTTTGGTGTTATTTTTGATTTTGCGAAGCGCATAAAGTTTTTATTTCATCTAAAATACTGGCGGTGTAATAAATTGCATTGTGGGCACGTTTTTTTTGTTTTCAATATGGTGGGTAAAACTAAAGAGTTCATTTCAGGAAAATATTGATGATGCTATAAAAATATTTAAAAAGGTATAGAAATTGTTATTAAATATAATTATACATTATTTTCGATGATTCGCTTCATCATTTTATAGTTATTTTATACCGCAATCTAGTTTCCATTCAGTATTTTATATTACCAGTCATCATTCTTCGCCTACCTAACGGTTGAACATATAATTAATGTTCCTGAGATTCTAACTTTATTGAGAGATACAACGGTCGTTCTTGAAGGTAGTCTCGAGTATTCACATGCTAATATAAACATTCCGCGAACACATATTTGTAATATATTATAATGATAATGAAGAAAAAAACAAGTGGAGTAAACTTCCAAATTCTCCCAATAATAATGATTCAATAAAAGCTCAGATAAAAGCCGCAGAGATCACCTTACTTCTGCGGAAACACAAGGATAAGCCAATGCATGGGGCCTTCTTTAATAACATTGGAGACCTTGGCTTATCAAAGCGCCTGACGTTCGCTTTTCTCAGGTCGAGTGGGCTGAAGTCGGAAACTGAGGCTTGGTGTCTCCAACACCTTAGTCTACCGCTGTCGCGTGATGGGTATAGAGGTTCCTGACACAAGGTGCAGGGCCTTCCGCGAGGCGCCCGAGACCCTAATGCACTTGCTATCAGCATGTCCAGCATATGCGGTCTCGGCCTATATCCATCGACATAACGCGGCCCTAAGAGTGCTACATTACCATCTACGGCACTCTTACGGTATTGACGAGACACCGTTGTTGACCTACGCTCCGGGGGATATTGAATCCGTTGTGGGGAACGAAAAGTGCCGAATTTATTGGAACTATTCGATCCCCACCCTCAGGCTCATACAAGCTGATAAGCCTGGTGTAGTCCTTCTGGACCACCAGAGCAAAACGATATTTGTCGTGGAGTTTTCAGCTCCTGGCGAGACGAATATCGTCAGAAAAGAGGAGGAAAAACGGCCTAAATATCGAGATTTTTCTCTTCGAACTCCGCAGACTGTATCCAGATCACTCTGTCAAGAGTGTATCAACCAATGACCACTCCCCACGGTGTGGGGAGTGGTCATTGATTGATAATGCTGGCTCGCCCTCCCGAATGTATCGGGGATTCGGGGGATAGGGCCTAACTAGCGCACACTACAATGGAAAAATAAATAATTCACCAAAAATACAACTAGAGTTTGAATATAACTGTTGGTAAATAAATACATATGCACCTCTCCGAAATATTAATCATTACTCCGACTCCCATCCCAGAGTTGGTGTATGTGGAGTTGTTTCCTGGCTTTGTCTGCAGGTAGCTCAGCGGACATCCCACTGAATTAACTGCAGAAAGAGTTCATGACTAGCTGGAATTATGTTTGTTTGGTTATGATACACGTTCACACCGTTCTGAAGAGACCATACCCGGTCCATTCGTCATTGGACCCCACTGGATGTAAATCCGGATAACCTTCAATGGTTATTGGGTTAACCAGTTCAAATATCATTCCTCTCAGTCGTATGGGAATGTGGGGGAACTGATGGTCATACATTGAGATGATTTAGAACCCAAGTTTTATACACAAAATGGAGAAGGTCCATTTACCGCAACTTCGGGACGCGACAAGGTTCCTTGATCCGATAGCAAAAGCTAAGCTTTTGTTAACCGTGGTGACATGTGCGCCTCAGGCGTGTCATTCCTGAACTACTGCTGGACCAAACCTTCGAAGGAGATTGGGTGTTTACATCCAGTGGGGTCCATTAGTCATTGAACCTCACTGTATATCCAGATAACCTTCAATGGTTATTGAGTTAGCCAGTTCAAATGTCATTCCTCTCAGTCGTATAGGGGTGTGAGGGAACTGATGGTCATACATTGAGATGATTTAGAACCCAATTTCTATACACAAAATGGAGAAAGTCCAATTACCGAAACTGAGGGACGCGGCATGGTTCCTTGATCCGATAACAAAAGCTAAGCTTTTGTTAACCGGGGTGACATGTGCGCCTTAGGCGTGTCTTTCCTGAACTGCTGCTGGACCAAATCTTAGAAGGAGATTGGGTCCATTAGTCTTTGGACCACACTGGATGTATATCCAAATAACCTTTAATGGTTATTGGGTTAGCCAGTTCAAATACCATTCCTCTCAGTCGTACGGGGGTGTGAGGGAACTGATGGACATACATTGAGATGATTTAGAACCTAAGTTCTATACACAAAATGGATACAGTTCAATTACCGCAAATGAGGGACGCGGCAAGGTTCTTTGATCCGATAGCAAAAGCTAAGCTTTTGTTAACCGGGGTGACATGTGCACCTCAGGCGTGGCATTCCTGAACTGCTGCTGGACCAAACCTTTGAAGGAGATTGGGTCCATTAGTCATTGGACCACACTGGATGTATATTCAAATAACCTTCAATGGTTATAGGGTTAGCCAGTTCTAATATCATTCCTCTCAGTCGTATGAAACCTGATAGTTTCACATCAGCTTTCTGCGCGGCATTAGCTCGGTTAGTTGTTGCTGCCACACATACCTACAAAGTCGTAGGTCTACATGATAGGCAAGGGGTAACGTGTTTTCATCTGAACCTGGATCATGTCATATGTATAAAAATTTATATAGTGTGTATATTTTGTAATTTCATATTTATGAGTAAAGTGTGTATATGTATTGTAATCTTATATTAATGAGTAGTGTCTTCATTGCTTATTTGTATGGATGAACTATTTTTATCTATTTGTAGATTGACGAACTTAACATATTTTTTATAAGAAAGAAGGTAATAAATAAATTTCAGTGATTTTAATTGGATTGAGTTCCTTGTTGAATTCAGTTATTCCTAAGATATACCTGAAAACTTTCAGAAACACTCCAGCCTCTGATGTAAGTCAATTCTCTCGAATTTCTGTTGAATTTCAGAATCCGACTTTTTTCCAAGAATATATGCAGCACGTTTCGTTTTCCCAATCGATGTGGCGGCTTCTTTTCAATCAAAAAATAATTCCAGAAAATAAACTCTCGTAGTCAATAAATAAAAAACACAGTTTTTTCATGTGCGCTTGCACACCACGTTTTATTTTTGAAAGAGTTTACAAAATATACTCGTTGTTTGTGTTTGTTGGATGTGAATAATTGGTACGAGTAATTTATTTTCATGCTCAATATTTCTTAGAAAATATACGATCTGGTTATTTTCAAAGTTGGGTTTGTTGTATTTTGTATGGGATCTTTAAATTCGTTTTCACTCATCACTGTCAATGCCCGGTAATAGTAAAGTAGTTCAATGCGAAATTGTGGCCTTGATCGGTAATGTAGTTTTCTATATTTGTTGAAGTTTTGAAAATGGGATTTGTTCAGTTTTGAACTGGTTCTAGAATTTGTTTCGGGGTTGAAATTAGATGATTTTAATGTATTTCCACGTGTTAAAACCGAAAGTGACCATAAAAAATTATATATTAGCTCTTGTTTTCAAGATATAGTATCATTATATTATAAGAGATCTTCGCTTGTCTAAGGAAAAGGCTGAGCTGTTAGGGTCAAGACTACAACAGTGGAATCTTCTAAAACATGATGTGAAAATATCTCAGTACAGACAGCGTCAAAAAGATTTGCTTCCTTTTTTTGAGAAAAAAGAAAACCTCGTAGTTTGTTCTGATGTTAATGGTTTGATGGACTGCTTGAATTTGGATCACACTCCATCTGAATGGAGACTGTTTATAGACTCTTCAAAACTAAGCTTAAAAGCTGTACTTCTGCATAATGGAAATCAGCTACCCTCTANATTTTCAGCATGGGAATACTGCCCTTCATGAATCTTCATGGAAGGGGTACAGTAGATCTGTCCGCCTTTTGGCATCGGCTGGAGCTGACCTCAACAAATGTAATTTCGGAGGATTCACCCCTCTCCACCTCAGCTGCCAAAACGGCCATAATCAGTCCTGCAGGGAGCTCCTGCTGGCGGGATGCGACCCTGATATACGAAACAACTACGGAGACACTGCTTTGCACACAGCAGCTAGGTAAGAGAAATATATTTTACATCTTATTCTGTGAGAATATGAATATCTGAAAAACTGTCAGCTTCCACGACCGAAGATATTTGTGTAGAAGCTGTTTCTCAGGTTTGTATTTTGTGGTCTGCAGGTGTTTTTTTTTGAGAACATAGTCGCATCCACCTGAAAGATCATTAGCGACGGATCAGTACAATACTATCAAATAATAACTACTAAAACAGTAAATGTGTACACATATTTAAATTTTGTTCAATAAGTCTATGTCATTAAGATAACCAATCAGATTTCTTGAGGGGAATTCTGTTCCGAGGAGAACTCTAATGTCATTCGGGAACTGATGATTAGATCGTTGAACATTGTATTTAGGGCATTCAATTAAAATGTGGTTTACACTCTGAACTGCATCACAATCGTCGCATCTAGGTGGATCACTATTCGTCAGAAGGTAGCCATGTTTAAATCTTGTGTGACCAAGACGGAGGCGCGTGAGAGTCACTTGTGCTATTCTGCTCTTACAAGTTGGTTGCCAACCCAAGATATTGTTTTTAATGTTACGCAATTTTTATCGCGAATTTAACCACTCTTGATACCACAAACATGACAATTTATTTTTGAAAAAGACTT